CCCCAAAACCCCAAAACCCCAAAACCCCAAAACCCCAAAAAGAGAATCTATAATTGAGCCATAAAAAGGTGGAATAGAGCTACCAAATAAGGAAAGGATCATCCTTTTCCGGAACTTCCTCAGCAGGTTCTGGAGAATCTGGATATTGATGGAAGTAAGAGATCTCGTCTCTTGACTGGAATTCTAGTTTGATATAAGCAGGCATTATTCTGTCTTCAAGATCTGTCCAATTCCAATCTTCGCCAAACAAGTTGTGAGATTTAATATCTAATTCTCCTGATTTTGTCAGCCCGTATCTTTTGGTTGGGTCGTAAGTGAGGAGTTTTTTTATCAAACTTTTTAATTTTTTATCAAATTTAGAAGGAAAGCTAACTTTTCCATTCAGTATTTTCTTATACATAATCATTGGATCAAAATCAAAGAAAGGTGTAATTCCTGCATGCATTTCATACATAAGAATTCCTAGTGTCCACCAGTCTACTGGCTTTCCATGGCCTCTATTTTCTAGAATTTCAGGTGAGAAGTACTCAGGACTTCCTCAACATGTGTACGTCCTGTCATAGCAAACTTTGGCAAATCCAAAATCGACTAGCTTGAGATATCCATCTTGATCGACTAGCAAATTTTCTGGCTTAAGGTCCCGATAAATAATGTTATTTTGAATGGAGGTATTCGAACATCAGTACTACTTGTCCAGCATAAAATCTGGTTTCTTCAGCAGAGAAGTATTCTAGCCTCTTGATCCATGTAGAAAGTTCCCCTCCTTGGATGAATTCCATGAGAATGTAGATATATCTGCTATCATAGGCATCTCCTCTGAACGAAATTAACAAAGGATTGTCGATATGTCTCATAATACTAAGCTCATCGATAGCATGTTGATGCTGTTTTAGGCTAATAACCTCAGCTTTATTTCAAGATTTTCAAAGCATAAATTTCTCCGGTGTGTTTCTCTCTAACCATTCGAACTCTTCCGTAGGAGCCCACTCCAAGGGTCTCTCCAATATCAAAGTTTTCAGTGATTGCGCTGGAGTAAAAAGCCATTTTATTTCTGAAATAATTTTATCAATCGTATAAATTCTTCTAGGGGTTTTGGGGTTTTGGGGTTTTGGGGTTTTGGGGTTTTGGGG